AAACATATATGTGTATGTGACTTAATCAGTACATCAGCCGGTAATACATTAATCAATGCATCAACTGCAAACTTTTGAAAAGTGCAATAAAGCAAAACTTCATTGGAAATGATTACATTTTGTGTAAAGGAAGGAGAAAAATTCTTAGGTTGTGTTCTGGCTTTGTATCCAGAAAGTGAGTACTTGGCATCACTCAACAAGCAACAGGTAAAATAGTGTATTATATCATAGTCACAATATTGAGTCATCAGGCAGAGCATCAGTAGTTAAAATTGTCTCATTTTTCCTCCCAAGACAGAAGAGAGCTGACTGATTTATAACGTTTATTTGGTTTATGTTATTATATTTTTACTTTTCATTTAGTTTCTCATTCATGTTTTTAATAGAAGCCAAATGAATTTAGGCTGTGACTGAATATTGTCTGAACAAAGAATTCAATTGATAGTTTTAAGACCTATTGTCACAGAGTTTGGTAGAAAAGAACAACTCCCATGTGTGCCTGATGAGAGAGATATTTGTATATATTGGTATGAACATACATATAAAAATAAGAAAATACATCAAAATTCTCTTTATATAAATAGAATGTGAGAAGTAAGTCTTGAATCTGGGATTATCTTGAACCATTATAACTGAAAGTTTATGTGCTGTGTGTGTCTCATTGGTTGGTAGAGCCCAGGTGCAAATAAAATCTCCATCAGGAGCTTTAATTTTCTGTTATTTTATATTACGACAGAGAAGGGTCCATATGCAGCTGGTTTTTGTTTCTTATGTCTCTTTCCTTTCTCTTTTTTGTTTAATCTCAACCACTAAGTAAGCATTAGGAAAAAGCGAACCTAATGATTATGAAAATAAAAAGAATTTCAAACTGCAAAAGACAAATTCCGTTACATAGCAGTTTGCTCACACACCTGACCAAACTTAAAATCATAGAAATCAGATGTTAAATATTAAGTAAAAATACAGCTCTTACTCTTTCTTCTTTATGTTACAATTACCATTTAAACTTTCGTACAACAACTTACAATGTCAGACCTCCAATTCTTGATACAGCGACCCCCAATAAACCTTTGTGCTGACCAGTGGAGGAGCTGAGGGGATGTAGTACGCAGCAGCCGAACTCTGTTTCCTTGAGTTTTTGTGAATTCACATCTGCTACTTCTCCCCATCTGCTCAGAACAACTTTTCATTCAGTGACGCTCAGTCTGACAATCAAAATTCTGCAGGTTCCTCTGTTTGTCCCAGGATACTCGGTCAGTGAGGCTGCTCTGAAATTCCCTATCTCCATGCATCTGTCTGGAACAGTTTAAGTTGTGCTTTGAGGTGCTGGGGGAGCATTTGTTAGTGAGAACTTCTGGGTAGCTCCTGTTAGTAAAATGCTTTTCTGCTTTTGGTAATTGTTTTTTTACAATGCATTGAAAATATATTGTGCTTTTAGCATTTAAAATATGGGTAGCAAAATTTTCTCATTGTAAATATTCAATTTGTAATTCATTATTTTAACTGTCAATTTCTAATAAATTTGAAAATTTGTAATTAATTTGATTGACTCTGAAAAGCTGATTAGCTTTTTTGTTGCCAAGTTGTTTGGCTGACATCAAATTTCATTTTTACTTTAAGAAAGAAGTCAATGTCTTTGCTTTAGGAAATGTACTTATTAAATGTGATTTGAAAAATTAACAGTTTTATAGGAAATTTTAATTTAATTTCAGTTCTTCTATCCAAAACTGATGCAGTAACAATGAATACCAATTTCAGAATATATTTGTGCCACCCTAAAGCTCATGTAGTTATTATATTTACAAAATATATTACTGATAATGTGCATAATACAGATTTTAGTATGCTTGTATGTGTAAGTAAGGTAGCTGCAGATATTGTTGTGGGTGCCTGCGTATTTAAGAGCTGCAGAATTCTTGGTTGCCTACTCATTTAAAGCTTGTTCCTGCTTGTTTTACGGTTTGATAATGGTGAGGGTAAGCAGTGGCCAGGAGTTTGGGTTTTTCCATACCTTGTGCTGGGTTCCTCGCTTGACCCACCTGCTCTGGTCCCAGCGGAAAGCCAAACAGTTCCTGACCCAACACTTTTTATTTAAATGGCCACTAGAGGTTGCTGCAGAACGGTGGACGATTGGTTTTGAAATCAAAGCTGAATCCTGAATTTGCCAGCAAATCTCACAGTTCAGGTTCTGTCGTGATTATATTTCTTTTAAATGGAGTTGAAGCAGTGGTTAACCCTGACTTCTTATACATGTTGATTTCATTATACAAAAATGTACATCTCTGTGTGCCAGTATAATTATGGGGACCAAAATGGTTCATCATCCATGTTTCTGTAACTTTGTGTAAAGGAGGTTCTTACAATGAAAATCAATCTTTTCTGGCATCTACTTGGACAGCATGTGAAACTTTGCTTTATTAAAAATTCAAAGCCATAATTTTTAGGAATTTGAAAAAAAATCAAATACTGTTCTTGATTATTTATTACTCTTATTTATATTTTTATCATCTCAGTAAACTTGTACATTATGGGAAAAGTTAGCTTTGCAATTATACACTTGTAACAATTCCTAAATGGTTCAGTATGCATTAGAAACAAGAAAATTAAATTAAGAAGTAAACCTTAAAACTATGGGGAAATATCACCTGAAATAATATACTCAAGAGGATAAATGATAGGAATTGTGTGGCACGTTTGTAATAATGTAACATCACACATAAATATATGCTATCAGTCTTTTCAGAAAATACTGTGGCAAAAGTACAGCAGACTTTCTGATGCATAATAGTGAGCACTTTTTTTGTTTGTTTAGAATGTAATAATACTTTAAGCACCTTTATTTTTTGACCTAATGTCTCTTGTTCTGTCTGTAAACCTATCCTTATATGAGTTAAAATTGTTTTGTGTAGGACTTGCACACTCAATTATACTAAATGAATTTCTGTGTTGAGAAAGCAACAGGAAAATGCACTTTCTGATTAAGCGCAGTTTTTCCATGTAATGGAAAAAAGAATGAAAGCTGTAGTTTTCTCTCAGTATCAGTTACAGCTAGTAAGTTACTCTGTACGTGTGTAAAACAAGTAGGATAGTGTGAAAAGAATTTAGCATCTGTCTGTCAAAGCTATGATATTATACTAAGTGAAGATACAAGTGCTTAATGCTGATGAAGTAAAAGAAATACTCATAAAACCTTTAATGCCACATCATCATTTATCATGTATATGGAAAAAAAAAACCAGGGGAAAAAAAAAAAAAGAAGAAAATATTTAAAGCATATATTATTCAAGAACTTAGATGGGAAGTATTCAGGTGGAGCTTTAGAAAACCAAGAAATGAGAAGTAGTTTGTCTGTAACTAAAACTTAGCTACTGAGTCACTCTCAGATGATCCTGGGGCTTAGAAGCTAGTGCTTGACTGCATTTGGAAAGAGACTGTTCCTTTCTTTGTGTTATGCTCTGCTACCCATACTAGAGGGCTGCAAACCAGTAAATCTGCTGCCATTCAGTATACAAAGAGCGTCACACAAGCAGCAGTGTCCATGTGAAACTTGAGAATGTGTACTTTCTGAGGATGGAAAATCTATAGGAAGGTGTTATGAACAGGACCCCTTTTCTCATTCTGTCTTAATATGTAACAATGGGATTTGGACACTTGGAGTAATTCCTTGGCTACCGAACTGTTCATAGGAAATTTGCTCTTAATTGTGGTTAGTGGGTTTTAAAGAGTTGGGCTGAAGCTCAGAGACATCTTGTTGAAGGGCAAGAGAGCTTAGTCCCGTCTTCAGCACTCACATAGGAAATACTTGCATTCTGCTTCCAGCTGTAATGGGAAGGAGGGGCATATATTTGGTTAGAAGTTTATTTAAAAATCAAATGCCTTCCTCTATATTGAGGGCAAGAATCACTAGCACATTTTTTTTCAGTAGACTAGAAACCACAATTTTTGTGGTTTCATATATCATATAAAAGACCACTTTGACTCAGAAGGAGAGCTGTTCAGAGTTTAAGCGAATCACTTAGCAAAAACAAGTCCCAGCATCTGTGTTTGTGGCATATTAACTTACAGTTCTAAAGACATGGCAAACATTTCATAACAAATATCTCAAAATAGAATTGGATATCTCCAAAAAGACTTCTATGAATGTGTAATAGTTTTTTTAGGGTGTCACCAGACAGGTAATAATCCCAGTAATTCATCTCTTCATTTCATGTTCCAAAAAATGGATTTCTAAACAACCTGAAATAAGGGAGAAAAAAAAGTAAAGTTTTGGTGTGTAGATATGTAAAATTCTATATGTATAAACAGATATATTTCACATTTAAATTCTTTACACGGAAATGTGTGCTAGCTGTGCCATTAACTGGAACAAGGGCAACAGAGCAAGTATAAAACTGCATTTCTTACACTGGAGAATTTTCTTAGTTGTGTGCATTCTTGAGTTACATGCTTCTCTTAGGTAGCTAATTAACAGCCCCTTTTGTCTATAATTAAGAGTAGCAAACCTTCCATTAGCTGAAGGTATGAGCCCTTTTAGTAGGTATTCTTCTAAGAAATCAATAAATGTTTTTCTTAGCTGCTGCTTTATCCTTCAAATTGAGTCTTAGCAATGGATTAAAGGGCTTCTAGCAAAGAAACTTAGCATGTTGAAAAACCTGCATAACAAAGAGGAACACTCCATGTATGTACACCCCATGCTTCAGTATCTAGGAGAACCACT